AATCTCATCTTAGCAGGGAAGGCTGTGACCATGTGACTTCTTCTGGTGATAAGCAACTTCAAGCCCTCTTCTGCTCTCTCTTCTTAATGGTTCTTTCTCTTTAAACCAGATTTGGACCAAACATGGGATTGGCCCTGAAAACAGAGGGCTATCCTTTGTAAAGTTGGATTAATAGCCACCCTACCCATCTTGCCAGAGGATTGTTGATACTGATAAGGGTTATGTCTCTGCATCAAAGTTGCAGGCTGCTCTCCCAAGAGAGACCCACCTGGCTCAATCTCTCTTACAGCTTCTTGCAACCTGGCCATAACCTCATTCTGCAGACAAACTTTAGGGCAGAGAGTGGTCCACAGGTTGGTCAGCATTGTAGGTTTTGAAGGGTTCTCAACTGTTGTGCTATTTTTGAATATTGGTTGTTTATCCATACAGTGGACGCTCGGGTTGCGTACATGATCCGTGCGGGAAGCACTTTCGCAACCCGCAGCACCACGTGTGCGCACGCACGGGTTGCAATTTGGTGCTTCTGCACATGCACATGCACAAATTTAGCGCTTCTGCGCATGCGCAAGCACTGAAACCCAGAATTAACCAGTTCTGGTACTTCCGAGTTCGGTGCGGTGCACAACCCGAAGCGTCTGTAACCCGAGGTATGACGGTATAAATTTTGTATTTTTCTTTATTGTTTTACCTAGTGCTATTTTTCTAGAAAACAGGTACAGGTACAGGAACCATGAACACCTCCCTCATTCTCTTAGAATGGCAACAGAGAGGTTGTGGAACATTGTTGTTAGCACTTGAAAATCAAAACTAAGAGAAAGAGAGTATTAACCTTTTAAATTAAATGCAGTGCTTTGAACATTGTTGCTTAAATTATTGCTATCTAAGCGATCTGTTATTGTGTCTGTGTATGTTATGATGTGGGTGGTGCTGTGGTCTGAACCACTGAGCCTAGGGCTTGCCGATCAGAAGGTCGGCGGTTCGAATCCCCGTGATGGGGTGAGCTCCCGTTGCTTAGTCCCAGTTCCTGCCAACCTAGCAGTTCAAAAGCACATCAAAGTGCAAGTAGATAAATAGGTACCGCTCCGGCGGGAAGGTAAACAGTGTTTCTGTGCGCTGCTCTGGTTTCACCAGAAGTGGTTTAGTCATGCTGGTCACATGACCCGGAAAAACTGTCTGCGGACAAAGGTTGGCTCCCTTGGCCAGTAAAGCGAGATGAGCGCCGCAACCCCAGAGTCGTCCGCGACTGGACTTAACTGTCAGGGGTCCCTTTACCTTTACCTTATGTTATGATAGCACTATCTTATTCTTTTCCATTACAGAAATGAACCTTTCGCATGATGAATTCTGCATATGTTAAATAAGCAGGGAGACAATATACAGCCTTGTTGTACTCCTTTCCCAATTTTGAACCAAGCAGTTGTTCCATATCCAGTTCTAACTGTAGCTTCTTGTCCCACATAGATTTCTCAGGAGACAGATGAGGTGATCAGGCACTCCCATTTCTTTAAGAACTTGCCATAGTTTGCTGCGGTCGACACAGTCAAAGGCTTTTGCATAGTCAATGAAGCAGAAGTAGATGTCTTTCTGGAACTCTCTAGCTTTCTCCATAATCCAGCGCACGTTTGCAATTTGGTCCCTGGTTCCTCTGCCCCTTCTAAATCCAGCTTGCACTTCTGGGAGTTCTCGGTCCACATACTGCTTGAGCCTTCCTTGTAGAATTTTAAGCATAACCTTGCTAGTGTGTGAAATGAGTGCAATTGTGCGGTAGTTGGAGCATTCTTTGGCACTGCCCTTCTTTGGAATTGGGATGTAGACTGATCTTCTCCAATCCTCTGGCCACTGCTGAGTAACATGCAAGATAGGGGACAAATAAGAGTCAAATTCCAACTACAGCACAACTGCAAATTAGATATCCATTTTCCTACCCAGCCATGCATCCATTTTCTGTGCAATGATGCTGTACTGTACTCCAGTATTTTAAGTTGTGAATAGTTAAGGCTCATCCTCCTCCTATAATTTTTTATTGTGCACCTTTAAATAATCTGTGTGCTTTCAGAGGATAGTGTGGGGACTCTTAAGAGATGCCAGCATGTTGACTTCTTGAATAACAACTTCACCAATGCCTTCAGTGCTACTGTATGCTGAAATAAGACAGAACAGAGGACAGTTTTAAATATTTGTTGTTGTACTTATATATGGTAATTTCCCTACCTGAGACCTTGAGGAAGGCCATGAAAGTCAGTACTGTATTACTCTAGTGTATTTCTACATTCACTATTTTTTTTCTTTCAGAAGCATCATTCCAGAGGTGGCTCTACCAAGTGCAACAAGTGTGTTCTGTGTGTGTGTGCATGGAGAAATAGTATGATTAAAAAGACTGTGAAAAGAACTAGAAAATCATGAGCAGAAAATAATTAACCATTTCATTTAGAAAAGGCTTGGGTAAATAAAAAGGTCTCAAGCATGCATTTGGGAGAGTAGGTTGTTGGAACAAGCTTGATCTCACATTAAAGGAGCCACAGCACTGAAGTCACAAAGCAGAGAGAATTAGCCCTCTTTGTGGCTGGGCATGGGCATAGGGGGCAGGCAATACCCGTACCCCTCTCTTGGTGAAGGTCAGCCATCAGAGTGGCCAAGGCCAATTCAGTCCCAAACCCACTTTGGAATCCAGTCTGGTGAGGGTCAAAGTACTCAGTTTCATTCAAGAGCAACTGCAGCTGAAATGCAAGCGCCCTCTCAAGAGAGCATTCGTGATCCTGTGAAAGTTGTTGTGCACCATTGGATCCAGGGCAGGCTTTTTCAGAAGTGATCACATCAACACTCCCTTCAAAGTGGTAGGCACCACCCTCGTGTGCAATGACGCATTAGCTGCCCCTAGACCCACCCGTCGAAAATCAGCACCACCAGTTAGTTTCAATCAGCCAAGAGGTGCAAAGAGTTGAGAGGACAGGTGTCAGGGGCAGTGCCACAAGCACCTTGTTCACGTCACCAGGTCGGTGAAACTGATCCCACAACACTCACGTGGCGCATTGGACACCTAGAGAGATTCTGCATCAATATCAGTTTTGGAGGTGAGCAACTTTATCCTCAAAGTGTCTTACAAAGAATTCACAACTATTTATTTGCAAAAATCTTAGATATTGTTAGTCTCTGTTTTAAGGCAGTATCTATTAAGCTCAAGTCTACTGATTGTAATAAAGATGAATGGAAATGTGCTATGCTTGCCAGTATTTAGTTGGCAGCATGTGTGTTTGACACGACTAAACAACGTGTGTTTCAACAGAAGTCTGATGAACAAAATGGTAAAGCTTTTCCTTTAATTTCACCTCCATGCTAGGGAAAACAGTATGTTTTATATTTCTGACTTTCAGGCCACTGCTATCAAAAATAGATTCTATATTTTACTGCATCTTATTGCATTAGTTGCGAGTTACCGGTCTCTGCAGCCACAAGCAGCCACTATGATTCTACACCACTGGAGGTGCACTCCATTGTCTCTTGAGACAGATGGACACCAACAAGGCATTTTGGTGCACCTTTTATTGTGAACTGTCCTCAGCTGAAAGGTGGTACAGATAAATTTGATATATAAATTTTAAAAAAGATAAAAAAGTTAGGCCGGGGGGGGGGATAACTGAAACCTATGGGGAAAGATCTGCTAACTGCTAACTCAAATTCTTTAGAACTCATGGGGTTTTTTTTGTCCCCGCAGCCCTAAAATTATACAAGGCCAAAATGTTGGCACAGCTCCTTTATGGGTCCTTGTTGGGCCCACCATCCTCTTCTTTCACTCCCCTCGAGAGAATCCAATCTAAATTTCTCAGAGCCCTTTTACAAGTCCCCAGATGCGTTGCAAATGCATAGATTAGAAATGGGGATGATGAGAGTCAAGGTTCATATTAGCTTAACATCAGTCTATAAGTGGTTGACACTGAAATTGCTCCAAGGTATAGCTCCACTGATTCTTTGTGATCGGTTCGTCTGGCTGGCAGATAGCGGTCCTGAACTCTCTGAAGAAATTGGGCCTTGCTCCTCAAGCCATCCTAAATTTGGGATTGGATCAAGCAAGATCCGTGGTCAGGCAAATAATTATGGACATAGAGAGACAACAGGACTGCTTGAGGTCCCGATTACATAATTGCAGAACATGAGAGATATGTTGCTGTCCCAGAAGCATACCTCCATTTCCTCGTATCCAGAAATGCAAGAAGAGCCTTTACTCTCGACCCCCATTTAGTGAGGCTTGCTGACCTTCTGGACTATAGCTGTCAACATTTCCCTTTTTAAAAGGAAAATTCCCTTATTCCGAATAGGATTCCTCGCAAGAAAAGGAAAAAGTTGACAGCTATGTTTTGGACAAGCTTAAACTAAATTTTCTCTTCTTTGGCAAAAATCACAAGATGACCCGGATGGTCGCCAGATTCTGCGCACAGATTTGTAGGCGTAGAACACCCCCTGGAACAAGTAGATCGCTAGGAAAACTGCCCTAGCCGGCCTCCTGGGCGTCCCGGGGGCAATCTGCATGTTAGTTTAACCTTAGGTCTTTTTGTGTTCATGCAACTATTTTAATTTTAATCTATAAGCTGTTATTGTATATTGTTTTAAATGTCTACAGTCATACCTCAGGTTACAGACGCTTCAGGTTGCATTTTTTGGGGTTATGGACCTGCTGAAATCCAGAAGTACTGGAATGGGTTACTTCCAGGTTTCGGCAGTCGTGCATGCACAGAAGCACAAAATCGTGCTTTGTGCATGCGCAAAAGCGTGGAATCGCAAGCCGCGCGTGCACAGACATGGCACTGCGGGTTGCGAACGTGCCTCCCGCATCGATCTCATTTGCAACCCGAGCGTCCACTGTATTTCATTCTTGTGAAAGCAGTCTCAGTTGTGCTTCTTGAACTGGTCTTTGACAATAATAATAAATTACTACTACTACTAGCTGAAACCTAATGCAAGATATTGTCTACAGGTTTATGCTCATAAATCACAACACACACAAAAGCATTCCATCATTTTATTATGATATATAGGGTTTTTAGCAATATTTAAAATTCTTAAATTATTTTCTATTAGTCGAATAGAAAGACATTATTGACTAAAGGATGTGGGGAAATACCATATTTATATAGATATAAAAATAAAAAGGCACTGCAAAACACCTTATCACAAAATATAAAACAGCAGAAATACTTTTGTAAGCACTTAGAAAGAGCAGAGCTACAAAAATAATTACATATCTATGTCAACAGAGCCATTAGCTACCTTCTAACTTCCCCTCTGACCATCAAATCAGTGTCCACTGCCTTCTTTAAGCTTTGGAATTTTACTTTCAGTTTTCCGCAGATGTAGTGGCTTTTGTGAATGGGAAAGGAAAAAAGTGTCCCAAACGATTAGATGATTTAGATGTAATACCAAATTATGATTTGCACAGCCAGAGCATGGTTTTGTCACGACTTAGGAACAGACAACTCGCAATCTAGGTACCAAAACACAATTTGAAGCAAGCCATGGCTTTCACATTCCTCTGAAAGCCATCGTTTGGGAACATCAGTCCACCCTGCGAGGCTGTTGTTTAAGACAGCATCTGGGGATTTGGAGGGTAGGTGTGGAACGAAGAAAACCACACCAACCACTGTTTGCCTGAACATCTGGAAGTAAGGGTTTGGAGTCTATGCTTGATGCAAACCATGGTTTAAAAACATGGATTAAAAACAAATCCATTAATTTACTCAATGCTCAATATTAAACACGACGCCAAGGCTTGCATGTAGCATTCCACTTGGGCAATGTCTTGTTTCAACTGAGAACACCACATGGATTTTTTAAAAACCACCCAATCTAACTCGGTGGAGAAATTCCCATTCATTTAAAAAGGAATAAATCCTACTCTTTCCCCCTATGGAACTGCAGCATGAAAACATATAGTTACTGAGGGTGGAACAAGCCACTTGCAATTTAAAAAAATACCACCTGAGGGAAAGAATTATTGGATTTGAGAATACAGGATGCCTGCACCTGCTTTTCTGAAGAGAAACAGCTGCTTGAAAGAGGCTTGTAATCGGCCCCTCACCTAAGCGGCCTGCTAGCACAGCCATAAAGGGTGTGGCAATGTGAAAATGTGTTTGGGGAATTGTGTCCTTTTGTGAAACGTCTTAAATGCTACAGTGTTTTGGGCCTTTTATTTGTGTATATTTGTGTGCGCTGTAATTTAAACCACCTGGAGAAGGGGTGTGGGGCTTGAGCATGCCTGGGAAAAAGGCTGTTCTGCCTCATGAGAGTAAACAAAACCAAGAATGTAGAGGACTTTCTGAGGCTATCTGTTGCTAGACCTGAGCTGCATGTGCTATCAGACTCATGAACTTGAAAAACTTGCTCTCTTCAGCTTGCCCGTGTGTTAATTTGGGTGATAAAAAGTCAACCACAGCCAAACCAATGGATTATTTAAAGTGGCCTGAACTCTGGTCATATTCACGCCCTACCTCCTACACTGCTTGAAGTGACATGTCTTCTCCCAAAGTGTTACGGCACTCTTAACAAGCTACAGCTCCTTGGATTCTTTGGGGGGAAACCATTACCGGTGAAGAGAGATAATTATAATTTAAATGTCTGGTGTGGGTGTCATTCTACAACTAGATGCTAGTAACTTCTTGATTTCTTAAACAATGAAAGCTGGGATTCTCGGGAAATTCACCTTTACATTGAATACCCACATCCTGTGCTTTTAATGTGCCTGCATGGAACCATGCACTTTTAGTCTTCATTTAACACCAATAAATTATCTTTCCCTGTCACTGTCTTGTGTGTGCAAATTTGGTTGCGTCTAAATGCTACACAATGTCTTCTTCATTGGCTTGGCAATTCACATACATGTTAGTCAAAGCCCATTCTTATGTTTTCGCTTGTGTGCAAAACTTTTGCTTTTCTCACATGCTTTAGTGCAAGGCGTGAGCACACATTTGGATCTAACTGCTTACATGATGATAGCTTGGTGGGAAGAGTAACACCAAGTTCTCAAATTCAATCCCAAGTTTCCCAGTTAGAAGGCTGTGGAGGAATCTCTCAGCCCAAGACAAAAGCACATCACTGCTACCCATCTCAGACAGCGCCAGACTAAACAAACCAGTGGTCTGATTGAGGCCACTCCACACCATAAATTTAAAGCACTCTTACGCCCCTTTAAGAATCATGGCTTCCCCAAAGATTCCTGGGAACTGTAGTTTGTTAAGGGTGCAGAGTCGTCAGGCCTTTAAGAAAGTGCAGTTCCCAGGATTTGGGCAGGGGGCAGGAGCCCTGACTCTCACGGTGCAGTTGTGACATAGGAGAGCTTCATCTATTAATTGCCACCATACACACACCATTTTTTGTGGAATGCAGCCAGTTTGGGTAAAGGTTTCTATCTTCCATTTGTGTATAGAGTTGTGAAATGTATAAGTTTTAGAATTAAAGCATTTCAATACAATATTCAAGAAAGGTTTGGGCACTACAGAAGTAAGGCACTCAAGATTTTAGAAGCTGTGCTTAATTTACTCAGACTGAATAGCAGGCAATCTCAGGGTGGGGGATAAATATATAAAGTTCTGTCACTTAAAAAAATAGCACCCCCCTTTTTAATGGGGCAAATAGTTCCCTTAATGTACAAAATGTGCTCTGAATGCAAAATTAATAATAACCCTACACAACATAGCATAGATAAAGCAATTCTAAAGTCCTACCTCAAGCATTCAGGTCTTCAGTTGTATAAAAAGCTTCATCTTATATTTGCAATTCTTCGGAATCTGGCAACATATAAACTTTCTATCACCCATTATACTCTGGATATCATGGGTCTTGCCTGGCTAAAGTCAATAGTAATTCTGCTTTAGTGGAACGGCATGTGCAGATGTTAAGTTATGGATGGGGGCTGGATGGGTGGAGAGTTCAGACTACGGTGTCCTTCCAAGTGATTAGAAGAATTACTATTCCTCTCTTTTCCCCTCTCCACATTTCTGATGTAGGATAAATTTACAAAAGCGAGGTTTGAAGTCTTGTCACCGCTTGGCAGGATGAGCACAGACAACCATTTACCCCCTTGGTGACCAGTTGGGAAACTAGCCGTGTGGAAGAGCTCCTTCCTTCACTTTGCAATGATACAACAGTTCTGGAACCGCTTAGCAACATGCACCACTTGGCGCGGACAAGCCCTCAAACTTTCTGCCACAATTTCCCACAGTGCTTCTGGGAAGCCCACAAGCAAGATGCAAGTCAAACAGCACACCTGCGATTCCCCACCCACAAGCACCCAAAGGCATGCTGATAAATAGTCATCTGCATTCAGCATCTGTAGTAAATAACCTTTTGGCTAACTGTTTACCTGTAACAGTTCTCTGTTCTCAAATGTGGGATGCATGCATACATGATGTACCCTTAACGTACATCTTTAATCTGAATCCAAGAATTTAAAGGCTGCCATTTTCCAATAAAGAGCTTCCCCCACCCCCACCCCCTCCACAACATACACTTTTTAAAGGGATGTGATGGAGGTTGATTATGCCACACAACATGGCTTATAAATTTAAAAAAGTTCAAACGACATTTGCCATCACTCACCATGGTAACATTTTGAGGCAATAGCTGTTGCAATAAAGAAAACTAAGGCCTGGGTCTCACTTGCATTTTAGTCTTGAAGTCAGGAAAAACAAGCCAGCATTGCAGAAAGAACAGTAAGATGTTTGTGATGAGCCAGTAAGAATCCATTCATGTGTAGGAGCTATATGATACCCACCCACCCACAATTTATTTTCATGAACTTTTCTGCCTTCAATAAGACCGGCATCATATATTCTGAACACTTTTAAAAAATCTGCATAATAGTCGCAAGGTACATGTGCAGTTGACTTAAATGAACTCTTTCCTCCATTCAAAAGAACAAATATGTCTAAGCAGCATAATGGATATGTAATAATTGTTGCACATTAAGATGCACAATTTGTTTAACCATACATCTTTCCCCATTCGAAAGGACAGCTCTTAAAAGCAGTATGCACAACTGTCGTTAACTTAACAACTGCTTCCACAACTAAGCCAATACTTTCAAGTCCCTTCCCTTCATTCTGTTGTCCATACAGTCACTTCCTGTTTCATCCATTTACTTCAGGTTTACTAGGTTTGTGAATCTGCTAATGTGAACAAATATCATTTCCCCTCCTCATACCCCTAAAGAGCTAAGCTTCCCTTCTGGGAAATGTTGGCCTCAGTTTTACAGTCTTTTATTCCAGAAAGTAAAAAAAGGCCTTTGGTCTCAAACACCGTCTTTTAAAAAGCTATTATCTTCCAGATCTTTAGCAAAAAGTAAAAAAATGCAGCCTCCTGAAGGAATGAGTCCACGTTAACTCTTTCCCCACACATTCAACTATACGTCCAGCTATTTTCCATCTGTTATATCCACACAAGGAGGCAGGTGCCCAAGGAATCTTCTCGTTGGCTTCCTTTATAAAGGCAGCTGGTTGCCAAGGAACTGTAAATGCCTGGTTTCCACGAATGGCCCCTGTGCAGCAGGGATTTGGCAACTCCTGCTCATTGGCAAAAATGGTGCCCTTTGGCTTTCCACCCCTATCTATTGTGCTGGGGCTTCTCCTTAAGATCCCAGGACAAAATTAATGTTTGATATGACTAAGAACTGCCTGCCATGATCTACCTGATGTCTTTGCAAAGCCGAGTCTTTGCCAAACTGGAGATGATCTTCTGTGACACAATCACTTTCTCTAAGGATATATTTGGCCACATCCTACATGCTACTGAGGGCCCACACACTACCCTATAGTAAGCTTTCTAAATGGCGACCAAGTAAGGGAAGGCCCTCACTACTGAAAATGCATTCAAGTGCTAACTAAGGAGGTTCGATCCGAGGCTGAGGGGACCCAAAACCAGCTTCTAGCTGCTTCAGCCCATGAGAATATCTCCCTCAGCTGCTTCTAGGAGCAGGGAAGCTACCTGGCATATCCAAGCCTGGGTGTGAAAAATGAATGATCCTGGAGCCATTTAATGGATGCCCTCAGCCAAAGGCCATTAAGTCTTAAAAGGCTTCTCCTCCGGCGTAGGCCTATGCCTTACGTTGATGTTGTAGTCAAGAGTTCTTCAGTAAACAAAACACTGCATTAAACATTTTCTGTGTAGACAATGCAGGGGCTGTTCTCCTCACAAAGCTCTAGCTGCACACTTGAGGCAAACCATCTTTTGGCAGAACCAAGGCTATAGTTGAGTGTGGTCCGGTATATGTTCTTGGCATGTTTGGGGAAGATGATTGTTGTACTCTGGAACCTCAGGGGTTTCTGGCGCGGCTCAAAGATGAGTTGGGACTTGTAGTTTCGCCATGTGCAGTTGGGGGCAGCAATGACGGTCTCGCTGTAAGTGGTGACAGTGGGCATTGGACAGTAGAAAACATCATCCCTGTAATGCCTCTCAGAGCCATATTTTACCTCAGAGTTGCACCTGAAATTTAAAAAGGGGGGGGGCAACAAGAAGTCACGCACAAGAACTTCAGTGGAGCCCCAACAAGATCAAACCACAGACTTGCTCAAGTCCCACATCCTGTTCCCCACAGCAAGTACCTCCTCTTCTGCTGAACCCTTTGCTCTCCAACAAGAGGCAACCATATCTGACCCTGAGCTGCACGTTTTGGGGGCCCGTGGGCACATCTGGAATACTGAGAAAGTGCCGTAGGTCCCACTCATAAAATGGCTGCCATAGGGGCATGACATAAAAAGTAGGAAAAGAGGCAGGATCACCCCACAACCCCCAAAATTGTGCCTAGCAGGAAATGGACTTCCTAGCAACTCTTGCAGCACTTCTTTTTGCCTTCCCCGTTCAAGTCTTGTGAGAGTCACACGAGAGTTGGCTCTTTCCCCTTTCTGATTAAAGGATGTTTAGGGCTGCAAACTCACCAGGGTTTCACTGGAGCTGAGTCTCGCTGGCTGGGGCCTGATCCTGCCCTTTTTACTGCTTGTGCGAAGCAGAGATGGCTCACTAGAGTGCATGGGCATAGCCAGGATATATTTTCTTTTGGGGGGGAAGGCTTTATATTGGGGGAGCAGAACCGAGTTATCTGTGACACAACTGGTCAGTTAGTTAAGTATTTTTATTCATTTACTTGATGGGGCAGCTGCCCCTTGCACCCCTTGGCTACACCCACGTCTTCCGCCACACACGTGTAGAACAGCCACCCTCAGGTTGCAAAAACCTCGGGATCCAGCCGGACCTCCGGAACGGATCCCATTCGCAACCGGAGGTACCACTGTATGTGATTAGGCAAATGTAGCCAGTGGTTGCAGCCTGACCAGCCCAGCAGAATTAGGGATTTGTTGGCAGTGGGATGGGGCAGGTCCTGCAAGCCACCTCTACAGGGAGGGAGACCAGGAGTGGTGCCAACTTGGAAAAAATATTGGGGGGGGGGGAGGTAAGCCCTGCCCCACATAATTGATCACATGACGCAGCACACACACATCATTTGAATCGCAACGCCCATCAACTTTGGAAGGACCAGTTGTATGTCCCCCATCCTGAGCTACTGCCAATCTGCGTCTGCTCAAGTGTTGTTGTTTTTTGGGGGAAACTCAGTACCTCTCTCTCATATGGACACCGTACCTGATACAGAGCCATGGAGGACCAAGAAATGGCACCTTGCCCCAACTCTGCCCTATATTCGGGGTGTGGGGGGAGTTGAGGTGGCAGCTCAGGGAAGGGACTTGCATTTTCATCCCCTGCCAAAAAATGATGGTATCCCCGCCTCTTCTCACTTTATTCCAGTTCCATGTTTGAGCCACTTCCATGTTTGAAGGGCAGTCGGCAGCGAAACTAATGAGAGATGGAACCAAAATGTTCTGGAACAGAACAATTGCTCATGAGTGAAAACTGGGGGAGCGAGTCAGAGGTTGCCTGGGGCGCAAAATACCCTTACGCCAGCACTGCTCATAAGCAAACACCAGAATAGATTCATCAAGTCTGGTTTTTGCAACGAACAGGTAAGGAAACCTTGAAGGCTGGAATCCACATTTTCTTCAGGTCTTCTCCAGGTCTTTTGTCATATTTGTCTGATTTGTGTCTTGGAGGGGTGGGGAGTTAACTGGAAAAACCTACATCTCCCTGCAAATCTGGCATTTCAATATCTCGCTCGTCTCTCTGTGTCTATAGTAAGTGTCCTAAAATATTAGCCAAAGCTGGAACAGACTTCACAAACAGATATCTAGATAGATCCCTGTTAGTTTTTGCATTCTTTCACTGCACACCCAACTTGAAGAAGCAGCTTTTATAGTCTGTGAAAAGCATCCCTGTCTTCAAAGAAGCAGGAGGGACACGCAAAGCATCCTGCTGCCAGGTTGCCGTAGGGGTTTTACATGGTTTGATGCTTCCAGATCTTGGAGGCGCAACCAGCAGCAGCTGAGGAATTTGCAGCTCTGTGTATAAAAAGATTAAACGCTGGGTGTGGCGCACGGCATTTGCCAACGCCCTGGAGGAGGCTTGGCCCACCAAACGGCACACGTAACACAATCTGCTTAATGAGTTTTGCACAGCTAAGCTCAGAGGCCAGCAAGTTGCTTGGTGCAGACAGCAGGAGCCCTCGATGGCAATTGGAAAAACATCCTTGTCGGTGGCACCTTGAAATTTCAAAGGCTACTCTTTAAAAGTTGGGTGCGTGGGTGGCATTGACACTGGGCAGAAAGCTGCAGCAGCATTTTGGCACACCAGCAACCACCAGAACATCACTGGCTAGCACCAAAGGAAGGTTGAGAAGAACCCCAAGTGAGAAATGTCACTTGTTGCATCAAAACCACATTGGCTTCCCTTAAAATGTTTTGGAAATTTGGCCCACTTAAAAAACACACTTGAACTTAACCTTACATTTTTGCCTTTAAAAGCAAAATTCAGCAGCAAAGTCAAGGACTCTGCCATTCACTGATGGACAAGAGTCTGATGTCACCACTACTGTCATGCCCACATATGGTTGGGCTGTTGGGCTTTGCTAGGACTGGAGACCCTCAGAGAAGAATCTGACCACAGAGCACTGGAGGAGACTCCAAAAACATGGAAGTAGGAGATGGGCAACTCTACCCCTCAGCACACAACTTAAACCCTCACAGTATAAGACAGAAAGACTAGAAGATGGGGGGTGGTAATCTCTGCCTATCAGAAGAATTCCAGAAGGGTGAGAGGTCAGAGCAGTTCTTTGCCATCATTAGAGCAATGGCTCAATTGTTCACTACCATCCAAAGGGAGAACCATGATCTTGGGATCTCTGGGTTAGCAGTATTGTTGATTGGCACAGCTTTGGCCCTAAATGCTGTGAAAATGCTCAAGCCCAGCAGACACCTGGGATGATTATGAAAGGTTTCACCACAAGTGCGTACTTCAACAAATACTGAAGTATGGACTCACTTCAGAAATGGCTGGTAGGGCAGAAGGGGCAGGAAGGCCAACGATAAGCTTTTTTGAAAACTGTAAATTGCTTTTGAGACAAATTGTTTGTAGTGGAAAACAAATATTATAAATAAAATAAGTCAGTAGGTGGAGCCGGAGCCAATGTCAAACAGGGCCAAACTAATTATTGTTTTGTCCTCCTCTTCTTCCATACTGAGTTCCACAAGGGCAAAACTGAGACTGAAGAGGAGGAAGCTGAGAGGCAGCTCCTTCCCGCTGGACTGGGTGCAAGTAAGAAGGCAGGGAGCTGGGAGCTGGCTGAGGACAGACGGAACTTGATGGGGCAGTGCCCCATTTGCCCTTAACGGACCAGTACCCACTGCCTGGCCTCCAAGCAAGAGTGTTTTAGTTCATGGATCTAGCCAGCCAGCCAGTCTCCTCCAGGACACTGTAAGCTACAAAGGACACAAGAAAGGCACAACACATCTGGTTTTCTTTTCCAGCAGAGATTGGGACTGATGGTACTTGCCTAAGGTCACGTAATGAGTTGTGTTCATGGACCAGGGCTGTCCTGGTTCACAGCTCAGTCTCGTAAACTTGCTTTCCTATATGATCTTGAAGTGGCCCTCTTGTCACTGTGCTACCTATTGCTTTTATTTGTTAGTTTTATTACCCCTTCCCCATGGCAGGTTACAGCAGCATAAGATATCACACCAATCCTACTTCTTTGCTCCACCTGCTTGAGAGCACAGGCCCATCTCCTACACAGAGGCAGAAGCCCTCCCAATGATTTGAGACCACAACACCCACCATCCCCAACCACTGGCCACGCTGGCTGGGGCTGATGGGAACTGGAGTCCAACGACTTGTCAGCCTGGAGAGCGCAACAACGCATAAGTCAGCTTTGTAATGTAGGCCACTACCTAACCCTGCTCAGCAAAAGGAGATTCAGGAAAGACAGCCTACAAATTGCAGAGGTGTGAGGGACAAGGGATTTGGGGGCTGCCCCCCTGACCTTTTGTGATCCCCCCCTTAGCTAGTGTTTTGGAAATCAAAAGAGGGGGAAATCTGGCCAAAACTGGAAGGAGCTGGAACATCTGGATTTCATTAAGGACCCATTCATTTCGCCCACCTACCCACCCACAATAATAGAGCACTGAAAAGGAATGGACAGCCAAATGAAAGATGTGATGGGTGCAAGCTGCCATGGCAAGCAAGGGAAAATTCAACAGAAATCTTCCCCACCCATTGTGAGTTGAGCTAAGACAAGGAGAGACAACCTGGTGCCTCCAGGTGTTGCTGGACTGCAGCTGCCACCAGGTCCCAGCCAGCATGGCCAGGGGTCAGGGGGATGTGAGCTGTGGCTCAACAACATCTGGAGGGTATCACATGGGCTGTCTCTGAGCTAAGACCACCAATTCACTGAGTTCAGGCCGCTCAACAGCTGGCAGTGATTTTCTGCCTCAGATCTGAGATGAATTCAATGTGAGATCTAAGCGGTGACCCCTCCATCTCCCCACCCCTCACCCCACTCACACTCTCCTATTATTCTACAGCATTCACTCTTTTTAATTTCAGCCATTCCTTCTTCCCCTCACCCCACCCACAGCTCTGGCTAAAACACCCACCAACCCATTCATAAACACCACTAATCTTTTGCAGGAGAATGCAGGAACACAAAAGGAAGCCCATACGTTACCTAATTTCCTGTGCCGGTTCGGGGTTGACCTCTATGCTTTCACCAAAAAACACAGGGTGCATCCGAGGCCTTATTTCTGATGTGGAGGCATTCAGAAGAAGATAAGGGATCTACAGGGCAGGGGGAGGGGAGGAAGAGCAAAATGGAAACACATGAGGAATCTGGAGCCTGCTGAGATGTTTACAGTTGAATCCGTGGTTAGTTTTAAGCATAGGTAAGAAAAGCTATTGCTGTGGACCTGTTTAATTCTCACAAGCACCCTAGTCCCTATGAACACCCTAACAGAACACAGATGTGTACAAGGGTATGCTTCAAGTTAGCTTTCCACCTCAAAATCAGTGCAGAACAACATCAGGAAACAGAGATCCAGATCAAGAAGGCTTAAATATGCATACAGTGTTCCAGGATGCAGAATGCAGAAGTATATCTAGATTCAATGTTTGGGAAGCACCGCAAGGCTAAACTCTGCTCCTAAACAGATGTATATGAAAGCAAGTGTTAATTCACACAACTTTTTTCTTATTGTGAAGGTTACATGAGCTGACTTTTTAAACTATGTCTATCTGAACTTGTGGATGCTCCGATCTGTGTCATCTGGAGGTGTGCCATTACGTAATCAGCTCTACATACACTCTTTGGGCTTGGGAGGGGGGATTATTGGTTTGTTCCTGTTTTTATTATGCATTTTGTGTTTTTATCTTGTAGTTTTATGCTGTGCACCACCCGGAGATCTATGGATGAAGGGCGGTAAACAAATTTAATAAATAACAATATTAATAATTCTTATTATCCGCACCTCTGTTTGCTGCACTGTTTGCACAAGAGCATTGGCAAGTGCTTCTGCACAAAGGGTGTCCATTGGCTGCGTCTATATTACCAGGCCCAATTCAAGATGTAGGTTTTGGCTTATAAAGTACCAAATGTCCAGGTATTTGATACCTTTTCCTTTACAGACTGAGATGGGCCATGAACCCAGCAAGGTAGGGACAGGGCCTACTCTGTACTGGTGCCCCAGCTGTAGAACTCACAACCCCTTTTAACAGATTTTTTTTTTAAAAATACCCTGCCTTCTTCCCTGATGGGACTCAAGGCAGCATACAGATTAAAAACAAGAACTAGAGGCACAGATAGATACGTTGACTAAACTTTAGACACATGGCTAGAACATACCTGATCTCTCAAGCTTTTTGAAATACAGTATTTAATTTATTTCCGTTTCAGCTGGTGCTTAAGACTTTATCTGATCAGCTGCTGTTTACCTGTAATTGCTGTAAACTGGATTTTAGTTTATAGTACTGTACAATATGACTAATCTTTATATATTATGTTGGAAAACACCTTGGGGTAACTGCATAATGAAGGGCAATCTATACATTTCCTTAATATTATAATAAATATAGCCAAAGGTGACTTTTTGATCTAGTCACACAGGGCTCTTGTGCTATTACGATCTATCTTTAGCCACTTGTTACCTAAAAAGGTCTCCAAGCGATTTATATTTAAAAACAGTAACATAAATATGCTACACCATAAAAAACACAAAATCATATAAACATTTTCATATAACATACAAAAAATAGTCGTCCCCCACAGAACAGCCTAAGTTATACTTCATTATGTCCCAGTTCTAGTGAATTCCACCCCCACAGTGACTGTAAAAACATCTGAGGGTTAGGAAATTACTGGTTGTCTGAATCCAGCTTCTGTCTTTGTCTCCCCCCCCCCCCCAACACACACTCTGGTTTGATGTGCCATCCCTCCCTGGCTTTCCCCCTGCCTCTGCCTGCCCCACACACCCCTCGCCCCTTTCCATCGGCTTGCCTGCCCAGCTAGAGCTCTGGGAGAGCCAAGGTTTTTTGTTCTGGCCTTTTGTTTTTAAAGGACCTGCAAGGAGGCAAAACCAAGCTTAACCGCAAGCTTCCCTCCTGCTGAGCTCAGCAAAGAAGCCCATCCCTGTTTCACAGATGTTTCTGGGTTTTTGCTACATCAATGAAAACCGTATGGGGAGGGCCCAGGAGAGTGGGTTTTCTGACATGGCTGAAATTAAATAACTGCCTTTTTGCCATCTTCATTTTGATCAGATGCTCCTGCGCCCCTGAGGCTTTTAACGAGAGCATGATGAAGGTAACGTGTCGGGCGCAAAAATGCCACACGGCGGATCGTAAATAGAGCTTCTGAGGATCCATTGCAAAGGAGAGAGGGACAACAAACATCTCTACATCCCATCCAGGGTGGAGGAAGCATCAACAGCAACAAGGGACAGGGCCTTCTCAGTGGCTGCACCAGTAACTATGGAACACCTGGCCCACTGAAGTGTGGATGGCTCCCTCTGCGGCAGTTTTTCACAGGTCAACAAGGGCATTTTTATTATGGCAGACTTTCGCTTGCTGAGTATATGCTGCTTTATGCAAACACTATGTTTACACACCACTTTTTCCAGTAGCAACAACATAAAGGTCTCTGGGGTTGACCATCTCCACCCACAGACAGGGAGGTCCACAGTGTGCCATCTGTGGATACCGGTGCCCATTGGGACTGGTAAGACAGAGGTAGGGAGACCACTAGTAGGTGGAGCTAGAACCAGCGGCAGGCAGAGCTAGAACCAACGATGCTCAGAGCCCACACTGGTGTGGCTGCACGCTGAAGGCAGACTGAGATCAGTGGGGCAGTGCCCCATTTGCCCTAGTGCAGCAGCCTCCAATGCCAGGGACCATAAAACTGGCCTTTTACTCAATGGCATTGTGGTTGTGGTTGTGTGTGTGTGTGTGCGTGTATAGCCCTCATGAAAATTCATCAACATTTCAGTGGAAATTAATCCTACCATACACATGTTTGTATGCAATTCTGCCCAAGATACACATTTTTGCAAAGCCATTTCCCCTTAAATAACACATTTTTGTATGTTATTTTCACTAATATTAGTATTTTTATGGACATGTCTCTCCCATTATATGCATTTTTATTCACATTCCCTGCCTGGAGAACTGCAAAGAAAATTGAAAGAAGTGTGAACTTTGAAGAATTGTTGTGTTTTGGTCCCCATATAGTTTTGAAATGTGCAAATTAGGTAGGTTTGCCTTTACATGTGAACGCAATTCAAATTTCACCTCCTGTCCTAGTCAGAGGAAGGGCATGTTCAGGCTCAGGGCTGAATACCGCCCTCCAGGCCTCCTTGCCCAGACCCCTCAGGGATGGGTGATCTCAAATCAGGGGCCTTGGTATATTTTTATTTACTTTTTGTATTGCGTTTTTATCATTGCCCCTTCCACTCAGAAGCTGAAGGTAACAGTGTGGCTCTCACCTCCTAGGTTATGCTCACAAGAATCCTTGTTAAGCTGAGAGAGCGACTTACTCAGGGTGTCTGCCCAGGGTGCAGTTGGTGTGAAAAGGGCAAATCCCAGGTTAGAGTTCATTGGGAAAGAGATTGAAAAAAAAGCACCCAATATGATGATGATGATGCACAAAATGGGAGTTCTAGTCTCCACACCTCAAAAATCATGGAACTGTAAAAAGTTCAGGAAAGTTCAACCAAAACGATTAAAGGGTTGGAGCAATTCCTCTATGAGGAAAGGTTATGACATTTGGGGGTTTTTAGTTGGTTCCAACCCTGACTGTTTATTATATTTTTGTTCTTTCCCCAAAAAAGCTCAGGAAAGCACCCGTATGCTGTCTAATCTTCACAACAGCCCTATAAGGTAGGGTAGGTTAAGAGACAGTGGCCAACCTGGTGCCCTTTGAGTGCTTTGGATGACAGCTCGCCATGGCTGTGCTGGCTGGAGCTTATGGGAATTGAAGTTCAAAACATCTGGATGATAAGTAGTCGGTGGTGGAATTGCATCTCCCAGCTCAGAAAGCTTGAAGGTAACAAAAGGCACTAAAACGGCTTCATCCTATAAAACTGGTTGTTTTGCTGTTGTTATTATTATTACTAATTAGTTACTTATTTTGCTTTTGCATCGCTTTCCACAAACAGGTCCCAAACCACCTCCCAGCAGCATACCAGAAAGCTCATTCGTAAAAGCTGAATCACAAAAAAGAAAAAGAAAGAACTTTCCTCTCCAGGCAACAGGGTGAGGGTTAAGGCAGGCAGAGAGTGGTGTGACAGGACCCCATTTGCCCAAACGGACAAACCTTCTAAAGGCTGCAGCGACATTCTCAATTCACCAGGTACGTTTTGCCCCTGGCTATCAGCCTCTTGCAACCAAGTGAAGATGCCTAAGTGCCAGGATGGCACCTGACGTCTCCACCATCTGGAGGTGCCTGCCTGGGGATCCTTGGATCTGGACCCTTTTCACACACTAATACCACATCCTGTACAATTCTATCCATTATATTTTATCGACAAAATCAGAATGAAAAGTTGTCCTGGAAAATACAACTTTTGAGCTGTCTGGCCCCAAAGTGGCAACTACTGTAGATATTCCATTTTGGTGACTGTAACCCTGGTTTAAGGAGCCATTTGTCACCTAGCTTATATACCTGAGCTTCTAACGCTGGCTGTAGCATCTCCCAGGCAGTGAAGGACGTATCCAGGCCGACCACTGGCTCTCCTCAACAGGAAGGGCTCCAAAGACTTCCTGATTGGTCAGGGGCTGTACGTGGGTAACCAGAGTCACTCCTGGCTTGCTCTCTGGTTTGACCTTCCCGTGCTGACCCATGAATCCGAGCATCTGGCTCCCACTTGGTGCAGCTACCTGTGGCTGACTTGTGGGAGCTCCACTGAACTGATGGACCAAGGAACCTGCAACATTCATGACTGAGGTGTTTTTTAAATGCTCATGATTCCATTTTCCTCCTTCAACACATTCCTATCAGCCCCTTTGGGCTTCTGCCAGGAGCTTTCATTTGGGGTGGGTGAGGAAATGCAGATTCAGCCCATTTTAAAGCAGTTTGTTCTGCCCTGCAATTATCAAGAACAGCTGGTATACATATAGAGTGTTATGGAAAACAGCCTCTCTGGTGTGCCTCTCGCATCGTATCCAAAGGGGAACTACAACCTTGCTTAGTGCTGGCCTGCCTTCAACCCTGCTTACAAGCATCAGTAAGGAGTGGGGTGCTTGTAACGGAGCATTTCATTAATTTATTTAATTAGGTGGGGTTAACGGGCAGA